CAGGAAGTTGTCACTGCGGGACGAGGTCAGCAGTGATCGGGAAGGTTGGTAGAGCAAGGAAATTCGTTGTTATAATTGCAACGAGTTGGGACATTGGAAACAGGATTGCAGAAAACCAGCACGGGAATGGGGATCCTGCTTCAAATGCGGAGCAGCGCATCACGCAAAGAATTGCCCGAAAAATACCCCCATGGTGGACCAGGGGCGAAAGCAGCCACGGGTACTGTCGTCGACATCGACATCAACATCGACAGCGACGCCGGGAACTTCTGCAAATTTGGTACAGCCGGACTCCCCAGAAACTCCGTTTATGGTACCGATTTCGTTTGCGATTCGAGACGACAATGGTATGATGTTTAACTTAGCCATTACAGCGATGATTGATTCCGGATCATCCGTTAGTTTAATTAAGTATGGACTATTACCATCTGCTCTTCGTCTAGATTCGCCAAAACTTAATAATTATTACGGCATTAACCATTCGCGATTGGATATTTTAGGTGTTTTCTCGACTATGGCTAATATTAATGATATGCGATTAGAAATAAAATTTTTCGTAGTACTGGACAATACGATGTCATGTTTTGCGTTGCTTGGCAGAGATTTTATTTCATCACGGTCTGTTCGAATAACTATGGGAGATGCTTTTGAAATTGCGACAAGTAGTAATAAAGATCACGAGTTAGAAACAAAAAATTTTGCTGGACAAATACTACAAATTGATTATGTTGAAACACCAATTACGGTAACTGAGAATTTAAATATTGACCCCAATTTAGATTCGAAGACAGCAAAAGAGCTTAGGCAAATTTATTTAGATATACAGAACCATCCCATCGACAATAATGAGCCCCCATGCTCTGTCGAGGCTGTTATTGCTCTTAAAACCGAGCAACCTGTTAGCTTTCGACCGCGTAGATTAGCTTTTGCGGATAAGGAAAAATTGAGAATTATCCTTGATGATTTGCTGAAACAAGGAATTATCAGACTGAGTAATTCGCCTTATGCCAGTCCAATTGTTATGGTAAGGAAGAAAAATGGTGAAATTCGTTTATGTGTAGATTTTCGGGAAATTAATAAACTTACGATTAGAGACAACTTTCCGGTTCCATTAATTGATGATTATTTAGATCAGCTACGCGACAAACAATACTTTACGAAACTAGATCTGAAAGATGCTTTTCACCACGTTCGAGTTTCTGAAAATTCAGTTAAATATACATCTTTCATAACGCCATTAGGACAGTACGAATACTTAAAAATGCCATTTGGATTGACTAATGCACCTCGTATTTTTCAAAGGTACATATACAACATTTTTCAAAATTTACTTCTATTAAACAAAATTTTGCTTTATCTTGATGACATTTTAGTACCTACTCAGACGGTAGAAGAACATTTAGAAATTTTGCGCGAGGTATTTAGATTAGCGAGACAACATAATTTACAGTTTAGATTGGATAAATGTTTCTTTTTGTTTCAACAAATAACCTATTTAGGCTACGTGATAACAAACAATAGTATTGCTCCCGATAGAGAGAATGTAGAATCTGTTGTTGATTACCTTGTTCCTACGAACGCCAAACAATTACACCGTTTCGTAGGCTTAGCAAGCTATTTTTGACGCTTTATTAGGGATTTTTCGACTATCGCAGGACCTTTTTACGAATTGCTACGGAAAAATGCCGTGTTTCATTTTGGACGCAGTGCTTAGTGAACAAACCAGTATTAGCAATTTATTCACCAAAATTGAAAACAGAACTTCATTGTGACGCGAGTAGTAGCGGGTTTGGTGCAATTCTAATGCAAAAGCAACAGAATGGAATTTTTCAACCTGTTTTTTATTTTAGTAAAAGGACAACCGTTCAAGAATCAAAGTATCATAGCTTCGAGCTCGAATGCTTAGCAGTCGTATACGCGATTAAACGTTTCATATATATTTATCCGGCGTACCTTTTAAAATTGTTATGGATTGTGACAGCTTTAGACTAACATTAAGCAAACAAAATGTCAACCCTCGAATTTCGCGGTGGGCGATGTTTTTACAAAGTTACGATTATGAAATCGAACACCGAAGCGGAAGTAACATGTCGCATGTAGATGCGTTAAGCCGTTCTCACTCAATACTTATTTTAGAACCCAATACATTCGAACAGACACTCTCGATCAAGCAATGTCAAGACCATACAATTAGCGAATTACGAGACCAATTAGAACACAGCGAAGATAAATATTACATATTAAGAGATGGACTAGTATATAAGAAAATTAAAAACAATAAATTGTTATTTTATGTACCGGCATGCTTAGAAAATAATGTAATTCGCACATGCCATGATGATTTGGGCCATTTGGGGATCGACAAAGTTGTTGAAAATATTAGTAAAGTACAGTAAAAGCTGGACATATGCAACAAACATTGAGACCCAGACGTTGCATATATCCAGTCGAGGCGTCGAATCTCGGGTTACACGCGTCGAGCAGCCAAGCGTGAACGTAGAAAAGGACAAACAGTGGCGCAAAGAGAGAGGTCCGATGATCAAAGGAAAGAGCCGAAACGTATCGGTGTGACTAATACTAATTGAATCAAAAAACTTTTTTATTTTTGACTTTTTTTGAATGGGTTACGTATCCGTCTCGGAAATTTCCTTATATGGTGTTACAAACCCTTCTCAAAAAATTTCCTTATATGGAATCGGATGGGTGCACCCGACACCAACCGTCTTCTAGAAAATTCGAGACCAACGCAAAGCAAGGGCGCGGTCCTACGGGTCACGTAGAGTCAGTCCCCACCACTTTTTTACTCTAGTTTTTGAGTATAAAAAGGATAGCGACAAGGGCACCTCGGGTCTAGTTGAAGTCTAGAATCAGTTCGTTACACGTCAGTACGTTCTTTTACGGACAATCTCTGCAACGAGGAAACTCTGCGAGATCGGGTATTCAAGTCCCCTTCAAGCACTCACAGTAACTATACAGTACGTTGTCTGCTGTTAAGCATTATTTTAATCGTTGTAGTCCGCCCCCGTTTGCTCGCATTCGTGAAAACCGAGAAGGATTAGATTCTTGCTTCGCGGAATCGAAACTAATTTCTATTTATTCAACTCATTTAAACTTGCAACTGTAGGAGAGGACGTTCTTTTAAGGAATTTGTCAGGTTCTAAATAAAACTCCAAGTCCTACTATAATAACGGTTATAAGTATATTTTTAAAAGGTAGCACGGTTTGCTGAAGAGCCGACCGTTCGTTTCCGCGTTTGTGCTGTGACTGACTAACAACGTTCAGTCTTGCACCCCCTAAAACTCAGGGGTACTGGCCGTCGTCGCTTGGCCTCGAGTCCCGCTATTTTATGACTCGGCCACGATTGAAAAGTAACGAACCTCTAGGCCCGAACACATGGTCGGATGGAACTTTCTCCAACCTTGTACCTTCATGGGCTCCAAATGCCGTTAAAAAGCCTACACAACCTAGAGTTTAATTCATTGAACACCGCGACAATTACACACAACAATTGTAAGGTCCCGGAATAGAGAATAAACTCACATTATTTTTAACTTACATCCTATTATTCAATTATATTTACTATCCAGAAACCCATTAAGGTGTACCTTTACCGCTCGAGGTACATCAATCAAGTTACGAGACCTAATACTAACGCTTCCTGCGGCTCCCTACGTTAGCCATACGTAGGTTCGTCCGCATATCACGTTCCTGAGGCTCCCTACGTTAGCCATACGTAGGTTCGTCCTCCACTCTACACCTTTCCTGTGGCTCCCTACGTTACCCACACGTAGGTTCGTCCACTATAGCCAACCTCCTGGAGCTCCCTACGTTAGCCATACGTAGGTTCGTCTCCACGTCTACTTCCTTAGGCTCCCAGTGTTACTAACAACACTGGTCAAGCCATTAACAAATACCATATACCTAAATTAAGCCCCGGCTACGCAGTCGCCCCCTCCGGCTCGTAACAAATGAAACGTCTGCTAGCGTATTGGTGAGATTTTAGTGATGAAAGTGGTACCAAACACGATATAGTTTCAATTATAATTACTTGATAAAATTGATGTTAAAAGTTGGCGAAAAGCAAAGGAGGATTGGAAATGAAAACCGGCTGCGGTGTCGGCTCGGGTTTCAAACGTTGCATATATCCAGCCGAGGTGTCGATTCTGGGCATTTAATGTTGCATATATCCAGCCGAGGCGTCGATTCTGGGCATTTAAACGTTGCATATATCCAGTCTTGGTATCGATTCTGTGTCCGTACAAATCGTTTGTACCGTGCCGCGTTACCTATTCTACGTTCGTACAAATCGTTTGTACCGTGCCGCGATACCTATTCTACGTTCGTACACAACATGCAACGTGTTGCATGTTGCATGTTGCGTGTTTGATGTATCTTTCGTGTACGGCCTGCCTTATACGTATGTAGCCGAGATGTCAATTCTATATTGTTTATTTTATTATTATTGTTTATTTATTCTATTATCATTCTGTTATTACTGTTAGCTTGTAAATTACTTTAATTTTCAATAGGAAGAAACTGTCCGGTTTCATGGAAATCATGGTCTTTGATGGTAAGGCTTTCCATAAAAAAGGCCAGCTTCATCCATGTTATAGATATTATCTATATTTATACTGTCATCTTCTTCCAATAATTTTGTAAAATTATTACAAAATCTTTTTCCAATATATGACAATATATATTATAATGTGCAGTTTTATTATTATTTTAATAAATCAAGATAATTCAAATCATATCGTGTTTTGGTACCATTTTAATCTGAAAAATCTTGCAAATGCGTTAGTCAAAGTTTCATTAAGAAAAAGTTAAAAATAAAAAAGTTTTATCGTTCAATTAGTATTAGTCACACCGATATTACGGTCGGATCATATTACACGGTTTCCTCGCCGAGCGGCTCGGTTCGGCTTAGGGGGATCCCCCCAAGTGGAGGGGATAGCGATGTTGCATATATCCAGCCAAAGTTTTGTTGCATATATCCAGCTTTTACTGTATATTGGTTTCCACAAATGCGACAGAAAGTTAAAGATTACATTAGCAACTGTTTAAAATGTATTGAATTTTCCCCTGCTAGTGGAAAATCCGAAGGGTTTTTGCACAATTTGAATAAAGGTAGTCTGTCCTTCCAAACGGTCCATATCGATCATTACGGCCCTTTAGAAAAGTGCGGAAAAGGATATAAATTCATTTTGTCGGTAATAGATGGGTTTACAAAATTCATAAAGTTATATCCGTGTAAAACGACAAAAACCGAGGAAGTAATAAAACACCTAACAGAATATTTTCGTACATACAGTAAACCTAAGAGGATTGTTAGCGACCGAGGGACTTGTTTTACTTCCGGTGCATTTAAAGAATTTTTGACCGGTAATTCAATTGAACAAATATTAATAGCGGTTGGGACCCCAAGAGCAAACGGTCAGGTCGAACGGTTCAACCGTGTTATAGCACCGATGTTAGCTAAATTGGTAGAAACACCCGGAAAATGGGACCGTGTTTTAGGGTCGGTAGAACACGCCTTGAATAATACCGTCTGTAGATCAACGGGAGAAAGTCCTTCCCGATTGTTATTCGGAATCGCTCAGTTAGGTACGGTCTCGGACAATTTGCGTTTAGCCTTGGAGTCATATTCCGAAGATGTTACAATACGTAGGAAAGCGGCTGAAAATATTGTGAAAGGTCAGCAAGATAATAAACGAGCGTATGACAAAAAGCATAAGACACCGACGGTATACCAGGTTGGGGACTATGTGATGATTCGCAATTCCGATGTCACCCCAGGAATAAATAAAAAATTAATTCCTAAATTCAAGGGACCTTATGTAGTTAAGAAAATTTTAGATCGCGATAGATATGTAGTCACTGATATAGAAGGATTCCAACTGACACGCATTCCTTTCACTGGAATCGTAGGACCTGATCAGATGAAATTCTGGATACGGTCATAATATTAGTAAAATAAAAAGTATAAAGTATGTATTTTATGTAAGCGTATTATGTTTTAGTATTTCAGTTATATTATCATTATATATTTTATTTTGTATTTTTTTTTTCTTTCTATTCTATTTTGTATGTTAGCATCAGCACGTGTTCAAGGGTTGACACGTGTCAGGGTCAATGCATTTTGGGCTTTGACCTGAGTTTCAAAGATTTCTTAGGATTCTTTAGGCTATCGATACCCCGAGCCATATGTCTGTCATCGGACTTGGGCCGGCGGTGGTTGATACTTGAGGTGCGACGAATTCTAAGAGTCGCGGATGTTTTGTTTATGGAACGGCGATAGAGAGTTCGATCGCCGATTCTCGAAGGAACGCGCGTGTGGCCGATGACCCGAAGTCATGGTGCTGCATGGCACGTGTAAAAAGATAAGGTTGATCTAGAAGGATCTGGCCACGGAGTGGGGAAGATCTTGCATCTTCTGGTAAGAAGACCATGAGGAACGGCATGGCACTTACCCCAGAACCGTCGAAGGGGATTAATCACTGAATAAAATTCTAACATGTACTGTGTGTTTGTGTGAACTAGTAATAAGTTAATTTTACATATGTGACCGAGGACGATCACCTTTGTCAGGAATGGCCGAATTGTAAACTTTTACCCATTAGATTTATGACACCCCATCGAGCTTAGAGACAGTCCAGACCTTTGCAGACAGGACGGGTCAAGGGGCTCCGATTCGGCCCACCCCGACACGGTCACGTACCCTTAAGTGGGCCCAGAGTTTTCTTCGACGGGCACTCGTTCGGAACAGTTCAAAGCAGTTCGAACCAAGGCATCTTAAGCCGAGTATCCACCTGTATCAAACGCCCGTATCGTATCACCGTTCCGAACCCTTTTGAATAGGCAGACGTTGCCTCGTTGCATGCCACGGCGTGCTACGGCTCGGACAATATTTCTTCGTTTCTTAAAAGAAACTCCTATAGGCGAGAAGTTTCGATTTCCTGCATGCTGTTTCTTTATTGTAATTGTCCTAACCATATCGTGTTTGGTATCATTTTAATCAGAAAAACGTCACAAATATCTTGGTAAAAGTTTTATAAGAAAAAAATGAAAAATAACAAAGTTCAGTCATTGCATTAGTATTATCTCACTGATATATCCGATTCCAGATCATATTATCTCGAGCCTCAAGTGTCATGTTTCCACTTGACATAGCATTTCGGGCCTTCGCCTGGGTATGTTGTTTTTACGTTTCAAGTGGTCTCCGAACCTATCCTTTGAACAGCAAGAAACCGACAATTTTCGGATCGGCCCGTTCCTTCACCTCCGTATCACAGCCCAATAGAACTTTCGATACTCGGCAACGGAAAAATCTCTGGAAAATTAACATTGTCCTTTTTCAATAATCACAGAGGTTCTTATTAACATTGCTCTTTTATGTACAGCATATCACCGAAGATAATTGATCTGTTTAAATATATTTAGACGATAAAATTTGTCTAAATTAAATTAGATTAAGTTCATAAATAATTTCATCGATTTTGAAATGAATCCAATAATACCGCAAGATTTCAAATAAATTGAAACCCAAGTGACGGCACGAAACGCTATGTCAAGTGCAAATGCATAAATCTTTCCTTCGATGCAACGGCAAAGAATCGACAAATTTTTCGGATGGGGCCGTTGCCTCCGTTCCTTTGGAACGGCACGCAGCAAAACGAAACTCCTCGCCTGTAGTGGCCCAGTCCTATTACCGAACCGTTTCTATCAAGAAACGAAGAAATATTGTCCGAGCCGTAGCACGCCGTGGCATGCAACGAGGCAACGTCTGCCTATTCAAAAGGGTTCGGAACGGTGATACGATACGGGCGTTGGATACAGGTGGATACTCGGCTTTAGACGACGGACGTCAAAATATAACGCAGTATTTCTAAGCAGATTACGGAGTGTGTTTATTTCACCATACCCCTCCTACATACGTTATATGCCATGTTAAAATTGTGATGTCTTTCTCTAAACAACTACACTAGTAATCTTGAGAATCAGGCGAATGAAATATAATTGAACGAACAAACAAATTTACCTGTAAGTGAAATTCGATCGCAATTATATGAAGAGCCTCGTTCGAAGAGATTACTCCCCCCCCCCAATATATATATATTTATATACATACAGGGTGTCTCACTTAAACTGATACAGAGCTCTTATTCCGTAACTATTACTGATACAAAAAATTGTTGATATGGTAATTGCATGGAAAAAGGGGGCCTATGTTTTGGCCGAAGTGAAAAATCTTTTACATTATTAGTATAAGAGATATGATGGTCAAGTTTTGTTTTTTAAATCGAACCTGTTCGGGATTAAGCGCGCGACAATTAAAATAGGCACAGTTATGCCAAACGCCGAAAACCTTTCGGCGTTGTCAGCGCTCTAGCGTTTATATAAAAGAATTTTTAACAAAAAACAAATCCGACTTCGAAATGCACTAAAAAGTGTAAAATAATTTCTATTTCATTTATACCAATATTCCATAGCTATTAATAATATATACTTAATCGTTAATTAGGATACCAAATACATTTCAAAATTTTTGGAGGCGGCGCAAAATTAAAAACTTTTCCTCTACTAGGAAGATCCTAACTCGGGCGTCGGTAACCTATGATAAATGACCCTTTTGATAATTTCAAGTAAACAATATTCAACGGGAATCAACATACACATTGCGAATTAACTATACAGGGTGATCCTCTCGCTAGGGGACACACAGGAACTGGCGACAATGAATCCCTTGAATTTGTTAGAAATTATTTTATTTTACACTTTTTAGTGGAACCAGTAGTATTTGTAGGATAGTGTAAGGTGATTTTAGGTTTCCGTTGCTTAGCTTATGATTGAAATGGAATAATTAATAAACGTTTGAATTGGAGGCTACGTTAATGATGAAAAATTTGAAAACAATTTAAATGAAACTTTCGCATTCGTTCCTAAATTAACCTGCTATGCTGAAAGCAGATAATTGTCACTGGGAAACGAGGAAACACGTTCGGTAGAACAGCCCTTTTCATGATCGGGCCAGTGAACGGCCCTCATTTATTGCACTTAGATATGAATAATAGACGAGGTGTCTCCTGTTCGAATGTTCAAAATCGACACAGTGACCTAGTGGGAATTATTTGCTTTCAGCGTAGCAGGTTAATTTAGAAACGAATGGGTAAGTTTAATTTAAATTGTTTTCAAATTTTTCATCATTAACGTAGCCTTCAATTCAAACGTTTATTGATTATTCCACATCAAACATTTTTATTTGCTGTTTAGAATCCTTAGAATTTCCTTTTTTACATTATGACAGGCGACAAGAGATTAGGTTTCGTATTCATTCTAAACAACTACTAAAAATGTTCTATCAGTTCAGTTTTTTTATTGTGCTATGCCAACGGGGTACCATACCGTTCATTCGCGACCTACGTCAGGCCCGGTTTTCGTACTCGACACTGCAGTCCCTGGGACTGCGCGCTATACGCGCTCGAATTGGTTGGTTTTTTTGTTATTAACTCGTGGTTACACAAACACAAAGTCGGAGAAATACTCTACAAGACGCAAAAAGCTTCGTTCCGATTGGTCCATCCGTCTCGGAGTAATCGGCGAACGTACGCCGCGCGTACATGAAATAGTACGTTTTTTTGCAGTAAAAAGCGTTCGGAGTGAAAAAATATAAAATGTTTTTTTAACGGGACCAATTGGGAGACATACTCTACCAGATGCAAAAGGTTTCGTTCCGATTGGTCCATCCGTCTCGGCGTAATCGGTGAACATACATAAAAAAAAAAAAATATACACATCGAATTGAGTATCCTCCTCCTTTTCGAAGTCGGATAAAAAACCGCGACGCGATGACGAGAGAGCCTACTCTTTCGCACTTCACGACGAAAGCAAGTGAAACCATAGATTTCGATCACGCGACGAATTCGCTCACGGTACTTCGATTGAAAGTACCCGGTTAATTGTAGTTACCTTTACTAATTAAAGGCTCCACAGTGTAAAGTGACCAAACACTCTTTTTGTTGATTAAATTATTACTTACGTTAAAAGTGGTTCTATAACTTTATTAAAACTCCTTCCTTCCTTTACTAAATTTAACCGGCATTTTGCCCAGAGAAAAAATTTATTCTCTGCGCGCAACAGAACCATATATTTTTTTTCAGATCATGTAATAGTGCTTCACAAGACGAATTCATTAAGCTATAATGTATATACCTGATTTTAATTAGTTTCCAAAATATAACATTTACAAATTTTCCGATTTTCAGTAGATATGTCTCGGTTTGAGTAGCAAGTCATAAAAGCGGCCCTATTGTTGCGGTAAGTGCCACAGCGGTTATTCTTTGGGTCTGCCGTCCCTAGCGTAGACTTCCGCTGTGTGAAAATAAGACCGTGTTTACTTTCGTCAAAATGCCGACTAAGAGAGAGCGTGGATTCCCGGAATCGATATATTTATATCTTTTGCCGTCTCGTCTTGCCCCCCTACAGGTGCCGAGCTACTTGATCCACCCGGGGGGACCTGTGAGGGGAAGGACAAGTGGCGGGGAACAGCGAACCTCGCTCGCCCGTCGGATATGATTTATTTTATAAGCGATTATGAAAATAGATACAAGAAAAATTGTACAGTTGATAGAATAAAATAATTAGTTGTAACCATAATGTAAAATTAAACTAAATAATGATGTAACGGGGAATTATTAATTAATAAAGGTGAATAAACCCCGTTTTGTCCACACAATTTTAAATGCTGTAAAGATATGAAGATCGGCACAGGGAAACGACAACCTCACCAAAATTTTTTGACTCTGAACGTTGTGACCTCTAGCAGACAAGGAAGGAGCTGCACTAATAATATCTTCGAACGAGGCTCTTCATATAATTGCGATCGAACCTCACAGGTAAGTTCGTTTGATAGTTCAATTATTTGCGCCTACGTGCCGTTGTCCGAATGAATGTGTGTGGGTATGGC